GCTCTGACATCCTCTGTTCTAAGGCCCTCCCAGCTCTGACATTCCCTATTCTAAGTCCCCCCTCCCAACTCTGACCTTCCCTGTTCTCAGGCCCCTCCCAGCTCTGACATCCCCTGTTCTAAGGCCCCTCCTTGTTCCAAGGGCCCTCAACTACCTTGAGCTGTGTCCAGAGTGGCGACCATAGCCCACCGAACCAAATCCGCACGTTCAGTTGCTGTTCACTCACTTGCGCTTGCCTGCTGTTGGCTTACTTTGTCTTCCCCTTCTTGCCCTCCGTGGGGAGGAGGAAACATCTGGATCTCACCAGGGAAATGAGAGTAAGGAGAGCCTTCCCATCTGGACACTCACATGTGAGCTTAGCTCATGTGTGACTCTGGCTCCCTGGGCACTTGTCCCAAAGCAGATGTCGGCTTCTTGGGAACTCACGTCCATAGCAAGGGCCCGGGTGCTCTTCAGGGGCACGTTGCTGACTCATTTTCCGTTCCTCTAAATGACCACCTGACCACAGACCCGAGATAAACGATCATGGGAGGGTCAGGAAGGGAGCTGTCCGCTGTGGTATGTCCTTGTGAAATTCCAATTTATTTGATTTTAGTCCCATGCTCTTTCCCCTCCAAGTCTTTTTAGATCTGGACTCTGCTCCCTCAGTGTGCTCTGGGTCCTTACAACTTCTGTGCTATCTACACATCTGACAAGTGTGTTAGTCATGGGTAAAAATGGAGCAAGTCACTGGGGACCTTCCAAAATGGCACTCGACTGTCGATCCACCAATCAGCAACCCATTAGTAATTGCCTGCTATGCCCCAGGCACTATTCAAAGTACTGAGTACACAAAGACAAAAGAGAAACAGCTTCTGGCCTTGTGGAGCTAGAAACAATCAGTAGATAGAGTCCTGATTTGGGAGCCAGCAAGAGCTGAGTTCAAATCCTGCCTCAGATACTTGTTAACTATGTTACTCTGGGCAAGTCATTTAACCTCTCTCTGCCTTAGTTTCCTTATTCCTAAAATGGGGATGATAAAAACAGCACCTACCTCATTGGGGTTTTATGAAGATCACCTGAGTATAATATATGCAAAGTGCGATGTGAATGTTAGCATTATTACTATTCTATGGGGGATATCTAATGAACATGTGCAAATACAGACAAAATACATGCGAAAGAATGAGGTGATTTTGAGAGAATGTCAGAGCTAGGAGGCCCCTTGGGGGCAGCTGGGGGGAGACCAGAAAGGGCCTCAAGGAAAAAGATGGTGCTTGAGTTTTGTCTTGAAGGAGAATAGGGATTCTAAAGGCAGAGGTAAATGGAGAGGGCTTTCTAGGCTGGAGGGCCAGCCAGTACAAAGACAAAGAGAAGGGAAATAGAATGTTCTCCTCCATGAGGAGCAGTAAGAAGGCCAGCTTGGCCCACAGGAATCATAAAGGCTGGAAAAATAGGCAAGGAGGAGTTGAGGAACCTAGTGGTAATTGATTTTAAAAATATATACTTTTATTTATTTATTTTTTTGCTAGGCAATTGGGGTTAAGTGACTTGCCCAGGGTCACACAGCTAGTAAATATCATGTGTCTGAGGCCAGATTTGAACTCAGGTCCTCCTGACTCCAGGGCTGATGCTCTATCCACTGCGCCACCTAGCTGCCCCCCAAAATATGTACTTTTAAATTTATTTTGTTAAGTATTTCCTAGTTACATTAAAAATTTTAGCATTATTGAATTTTTAAAATAAATTTTATTGATCTTTCTCTACATTTCCACCTTTCTCATCGTATCCTTCCC